AACAAACCATAATTACCTTGAAATCAGCTCTAGTTCCTAATTAAAGTGTTTTTCTGACTTAAAATTGCAGTATCTTGGTATAAGGATTTTGATGAAAAAGGCAAGGCTATAGCCTTACCAAAATGTCCGACTTTCGACCCAGAAATTTTTCACCTAAAGCATGACTCAATCAGTGGCGTAGCTAGCGGTCATGCTTGTCATGCCGGGCATGACCATCTATTTCCAGAGATAACATTTTTCAAAAAATTATATTTTCGTAAGAATAAAGTCCTATTCTCCTGATGAAATAGCTCAGGCCATTCGCCTTTGGAGCCCTATGGTTCCACGCAAGAATATGGAGCCCTCCGAAGGCGCTCTTCTATTGTCGGGCATGACTAAAACAGAGGGTTTCCAATTTAGTTATGCCCATAACTATGAGCATGACCAAACCCTGTGTTTTAGTCATGCCCATAACGCTGGTTCCCTATGTTTGGTCATGCCTGACAATAGGAGTGACGCAGGAGAGAACAAAGGCTAGTCATGCCATTTCGAGAAGGCATGACCATCATTATAATCATCAGAACCGCCCTGTGTTATTTCGTGAACGCGAATGCGAGGCATCGATGGCGGCGCTGCTATGCCTAGTTCCACGAGATGGGAGGTAATTCCAGTAATTCTCTGTAATTAAAATGCAAGCAAAAGCTTATTGCCAAGCAGCCACGACTCATATTAATCTCCAGAACATTTCATGGCAATGACAGGGTTTTCAGCCTTAATGGTGTTGCACTATGTGGAGAAGTGACAGGCACGAAAGGCCATTTTTGGACATAAAATCAGAGAGCAGGATCATCATATGCAACCAAACCAAACTCTCAGCCTTTTCAGTAATCAATTGTTACTAGCTGAACATTTGCAGAGAATCTTCTTGATTTAATGAATGCCAAATCTTGGTGCTGTTCACTGGAGATGGATGGAGGAGATAGCAGTGTTATTTTCCAAACCAACAGATTTGAGAGCTTAAACTTTCCAGACATTTAGCAGCATATTCAGAAACTGTTAAGCCCTTTAAAAGCATTGTTACCATATTATGATTAAGACAATAAGATTGTAGTTAATGGGTAGGGAATGCCAAAACTTGCTTAAAGTTATTCTTCAATTTTTTATTTATTATCACATGCAATAACACTGTTTTTACACACAATTAAAGTCAAACTAAAAGCTCTACTTACTTCACTTGTAGTTGAAAGTACCTTTTTACTACTTATAGCTGTTGAAATAAAATGACCAGAGACAAGTCAAGCATGTTACTGATCTTGTTAGTTAAACAGTTTTATTTAATTATTACAACTTTTGATGTATTTGAAAATTTACAAGATCAAATTATTTCATTTACAACCCTTGTTTGCTAGATTTAGTAAGAACAATCCAATCATGTGGATATTTACCACAAGTATATGTGGAAACATCAATGTTTTTGTTAAGCGAAACTTATTTTGCAAGGTATTTTTCTATTAAGTCTAACTTTGCAGAAAACATTTTTCAACTTGGCCTATCCATTTTTTAGCTTCCTACATTTCATATCAATATTTACATTGCATATTCATTTGCCAATTTGTTTTATTCATCTATCAGTTCTATCGAGGTTGTTAATTAATCGTGATGGCTTTAAAATACCTTCAATAGATTGATAATAAGACTATTTGTGGAAAAGATGACCAAAAGGTTCCCATTCAGTTTCATGTGATTTATTGTTTCATTTACAAATTTTAGCTTGTCTCTAAAATTTACAAATGTATTTCAGCCTGCAAATTGAAAGAAATTAGGAGAACATCACAATTTTTGATTTAAGCTAAGTTTATCTACTATACTAAACTAATGTTTTTTAATGTCTTTTGTACAGTTCTGTTTGGAAATTGTCAGAACTCTGTCTGTATAAATTACCAACAAACCAAAACAGTGTCACAGCTATAAGATAAAGGTCATTTCATGGTGTAACAAGATAATTGCTATGAAATAAGAAAAGCTCATTCCAAAAGTTAATCAAAATTTGTTTATAAGTCACAAGTCTTAAAATAAAAATTTCCAAAAGGAACTCGTCAACTAAAAAATTGGGCGTGGTAAAATTTGGCACACCCATATTTTTTCAAATTTGAGGGGAGGGCATGACCACTAATATTTGGCTAGCTACGCCACTGGACTCAATCTACCCTAAACAAGCCATAAATACCTTTAAATCAGCTCTAGATCCTATTTAAAGTGTTTTCCTGCTCTAAAAATGCAGTTTCTTGGTATAAGGATTTTGATGAAAAGGGCAAGGCTATAGCCTTACCAAAATATACCGTTTTCGACCAAGAAACTTTTCATCTCAAACGTGCCCCAATCTACTCCAAACAAACCATAAATACCTTTAAATCAGCTCTAGATCCTATTCAAAGTGTTTTTCTGCTCTAAAAATGCAGTTTCTTGGTATAAGGATTTTGATGAAAAAGGCAAGGCTACAGCCTTACCAAAATATCCGATTTTCGACCAAGAAATTTTTTATCTCAAACTTGCCCCAATCTACCCTAAAGAAACCATAAATACCTTTAAATCAGCTCTAGATCCTATTCAAAGTGTTTTTCTGCTCTAAAAATGCAGTTTCTTGGTATAAGGATTTTGATGAAAAAGGCAAGGCTATAGCCTTACCAAAATATTCGATTTTCGACCAAAAAATTTTCATCTAAAACATGCCTCAATCTACTCTAAATAAACCATAAATACCTTTAAATCAGCTCTAGATCATATTTAAAGTGTTTTTCTGCTCTAAAAATGCAGTTTCTTGGTATAAGGATTTTGATGAAAAAGGCAAGGCTACAGCCTAACCAAAATATCCGATTTTCGACCAAGAAATTTTTGATCTCAAACGTGCCCCAATCTACTCTAAACAAACCATAATTACCTTGAAATCAGCTCTAGTTCCTAATTAAAGTGTTTTTCTGACTTAAAATTGCAGTATCTTGGTATAAGGATTTTGATGAAAAAGGCAAGGCTATAGCCTTACCAAAATGTCCGACTTTCGACCCAGAAATTTTTCACCTAAAGCATGACTCAATCTACCCTAAACAAGCCATAAATACCTTTAAATCAGCTCTAGATCCTATTTAAAGTGTTTTCCTGCTCTAAAAATGCAGTTTCTTGGTATAAGGATTTTGATGAAAAGGGCAAGGCTATAGCCTTACCAAAATATACCGTTTTCGACCAAGAAACTTTTCATCTCAAACGTGCCCCAATCTACTCCAAACAAACCATAAATACCTTTAAATCAGCTCTAGATCATATTTAAAGTGTTTTTCTGCTCTAAAAATGCAGTTTCTCGGTATAAGGATTTTGATGAAAAAGGCAAGGCGATAGCCTTACCAAAAAATCCGATTTTCGACCAAGAAATTTTTCATCTAAAACATGCCTTTATCTACTCTAAACAAACCATAAATACCTTTAAATCAGCTCTTGATCCTATTCAAAGTGTTTTTCTGCTCTAAAATGCAGTTTCTTGATATAAGGATTTTCATAAAAAAGGCAAGGATATAGCCTTACCAAAATATCCGATTTTCGACCAAGAAATTTTTGATCTCAAACGTGCCCCAATCTACTCTAAACAAACCATAATTACCTTGAAATCAGCTCTAGTTCCTAATTAAAGTGTTTTTCTGACTTAAAATTGCAGTATCTTGGTATAAGGATTTTGATGAAAAAGGCAAGGCTATAGCCTTACCAAAATGTCCGACTTTCGACCCAGAAATTTTTCACCTAAAGCATGACTCAATCTACCCTAAACAAGCCATAAATACCTTTAAATCAGCTCTAGATCCTATTTAAAGTGTTTTCCTGCTCTAAAAATGCAGTTTCTTGGTATAAGGATTTTGATGAAAAGGGCAAGGCTATAGCCTTACCAAAATATACCGTTTTCGACCAAGAAACTTTTCATCTCAAACGTGCCCCAATCTACTCCAAACAAACCATAAATACCTTTAAATCAGCTCTAGATCATATTTAAAGTGTTTTTCTGCTCTAAAAATGCAGTTTCTCGGTATAAGGATTTTGATGAAAAAGGCAAGGCGATAGCCTTACCAAAAAATCCGATTTTCGACCAAGAAATTTTTCATCTAAAACATGCCTTTATCTACTCTAAACAAACCATAAATACCTTTAAATCAGCTCTTGATCCTATTTAAAGTGTTTTTCTGCTCTAAAATGCAGTTTCTTGATATAAGGATTTTCATAAAAAAGGCAAGGATATAGCCTTACCAAAATATCCGATTTTCGACCAAGAAATTTTTCCATCTAAAACATGCCTCAATCTACTCTAAACAAACCATAAATACCTTTAAATGAGCTCTAGATCCTATTTAAAGTGTTTTTCTGCTCTAAAAATGCAGTTTCTTGGTATAAGGATTCTGAAGAAAAAGGCAAGGCTATAGCCTTACCAAAATATCCGATTTTCGACCAAGAAATTTTTCATCTAAAACATGCCTCAATCTACTCTAATCTACTCCAGTTTTAAATTTAGGAATAATTGTTATTGGGCTTGCACCTCCATTTCTTAAAGTCTCCAATGGAAGGGTTCGACCTCGAAGGCAAATTTTAATAAAACAAAATGCGAAAGTTCTTATTGAAAGCAAAGGAGAAAGCTGAAATTCGTTACTTCTAAAATAAAGGAATAAATGAACATTTTAAGACTTTGTATTTCTGAGAAAGTTTTCACTATCTCACTCATTCAGGGGAGAAATAAATGACAAAAGTCGCATTCACTGGCTATGTATATTTAATTTAAATACGCTCATTTATAAAATCTCAACGCTAAATTACCACATGCTACCATATACTATAATATTTTCGCATAATGTCAAAATTAATTAATATAGGTACGTGACTGGCGCTTTACGTAACTGAATTTCCTATTGAACGTTCAAAAACCTAACTTTTTCATTTAAAACTGAGAAAGACCTTGCACTGGAAGAAGGACATAAAAAAGAAAGAGGATAACGGTAATAAAAATTTAAGGTATTTCTATTTTCAAACAGAAGACATGTTAGTGACATACATATACGCTAGTTTAAATTATATAAAAATAGTTTAAACGCTAATAATGTTAGGTAAATGTTTTAAATCTCTTTTTTCTGGGCAAATTCCCTTTGTGAATTTTTAACGCAATGCCTGAAATAGTTTTTATCGGTCGTTTTCTTTGTTCTCTGCTCACAGGTTGAAGAAAAATCGTAGAGGGTCGTGCCGCAATGAACCGCGCCGAACAACGACGACATGAACCGCGCCGAACAACGACGACATGAACCGCGCCGAACAACGACGACATGAACCGACTGAATTTTGGTTGGTACGACTCTTATAAAATCGATTTTACTGGTTTTCTACTTGCGCAAAGAATCCAGCGCGGGCTGACTAACGTTCTCAACAAATATTAATACCTCAATTTCTTTCAACCGATACCAGACAAAATACAATACAAATACTATGTAAAATTGCAAAGTTGCAAATTTATGCGAAGCTGTGGCTATACGCTATACATTGTAACATTTATTCTTTGCTAATATATATGTATCGGCCTTGTGCATCGAATTTCAAGGATTCTAAACGAATGCTGCCGTATTCACAGACGACAGCCTTGTAAATGGCAGCAGCCTAAAGGTGCCATCGACGGGATCAGTCCGCAAAAAAGAGGTGTGTATAAGATTGATACTAACAACATACGTGTGCACTCGGCGATATCATATCATTGAAACTTTAAATTGCAAAACCAAAACGCAATGAGATGTCGTAAAAGGGTAAGTCAGGCATGGAAAATTTGAGAAATGGAGCAATAGCTTGATGAAAAAAATTTGCCACTGCGCCAAACTTAGGAGCTCTAATAGGTAATGGCCAAAGTTTTTTTCCAGAAAGAAGCTTGTTTATTTTGTGGCTTCTTTGATTGTATTTTTTACCAAAAGGTTCCTTTCAGCGAGTTGATCAACGTTCTCAAACGGGTGGAAAAGGTGTTAAGATGACTCAATCTACCCTAAACAAACCATAAATACCTTTAAATCAGCTCTTGATCCTATTCAAAGTGTTTTTCTGCTCTAAAATGCAGTTTCTTGATATAAGGATTTTCATGAAAAAGGCAAGCCTTACCAAAATGTCCGATTTTCGACCAAGAAATTTTTCATCTAAAACATGACTCAATCTACCCTAAACAAACCATAAATACCTTTAAATCAGCTCTAGATCCTATTCAAAGTGTTTTTCTGCTCTAAAAATGCAGTTTCTTGGTATAAGGATTTTCATGAAAAAGGCAAGACTAGAGCCTTACCAAAATATCAGATTTTCGACCAAGAAATTTTTCATCTAAAACATGCCTCAATCTTCTCTGAACAAACCATAAATACTATTAAATCGGCTTTTGATCCTATTTGAAGTGCGTTTCTGCTCTAAAAATGCAGTTTCTTGGTAAAAGGATTTTGACGAAAAAGGTATTAAAGTCTTCAATGGAAGGGTTCCACCTCAAAGGCAAATTTTACTAAAACAAAATGCGAAAGTTCTTATTGAAAGCAAAGGAGAAAGCTGAAATTCGTTACTTTTAAAATAAAGGAATAAATGAACATTTTAAGACTTCGTATTTCTGAGAATGTTTTTACTATCTAACTCATTCAGGGGAGAAATAAGTGACAAAAGTCGCATTCACTGGCTATGTATATTTAATTTAAATACGCTCATTTATAAAATCTCAACGCTAAATTACCACATGCTACCATACACTATAATATTTTCGCATAATGTCAAAATTAATTAATATAGGTACGTGACTGGCGCTTTACGTAACTGAATTTCCTATTGAACGTTCAAAAACCTAACTTTTTCATTTAAAACTGAGAAAGACCTTGCACTGGAAGAAAGACATAAAAAAGAAAGAGGATAACGGTAATAAAAATTTAAGGTATTTCTATTTTCAAACAGAAGACATGCTAGTGACATACATATACGCCAGTTTAAATTATATAAAAATAGTTTAAACGCTAATAATGTTAGGTAAATGTTTTAAATCTCTTTTTTCTGGGCAAATTCCCCTTGTGAATTTTTAACACATGCCTGAAATAGTTATAATCTATCGTTTTCTTTGTCATCTGCTCACAGGTTGAAGAAAAATCGTAGAGGGTCGTGCCGCAATGAGCCGCGCCGAACAACGACGACATGAACCGCGCCAAACAACGACGACATGAACCGCGCCGAACAACGACGACATGAACCGCGCCGAACAACGACGACATGAACCGCGCCGAACAACGACGACATGAACCGCGCCGAACAACGACGACATGAACCGACTGAATTTTGGTTGGTAAGACTCTTATAAAATCAATTTTACTGGTTTTCTACTTGCGCAAAGAATCCAGCGCGGGCTGACTAACCTTCTCAAGAAATATTAATACCTCAATTTCTCTCAACCGATGCCAGACAAAATACAATACAAATACTATGTAAAATTGCAAAGTTGCAAATTTATGCGAAGCTGTGGCTATACGCTATACATTGTAACATTTATTCTTTGCTAATATATATGTATCGGCCTTGTGCATCGAATTTCAAGGATTCTAAACGAATGCTGCCGTATTCACAGACGACAGCCTTGTAAATGACAGCAGCTTAAAGGTGCCATCGACGGGGTCAGTCCGCAAAAAAGAGGTATTTATAAGATTGATACTAACAACATACGTGTACACTCGGCGATATCATATCATTGAAACTTTAAATTGCAAAACCAAAACGCAATGAGATGTCGTAAAAGGGTAAGTCAGGCATGGAAAATTTGAGAAATGGAGCAATAGCTTGATGAAAAAAATTTGCCACTGCGCCAAACTTAGGAGCTCTAATAGGTAATGGCCAAAGTTTTTTTCCAGAAAGAAGCTTGTTTATTTTGTGGCTTCTTTGATTGTATTTTTTACCAAAAGGTTCCTTTCAGCGAGTTGATCAACGTTCTCAAACGGGTGGAAAAGGTGTTAAGTCTGTGTAATTGCATTGTCTTCAATCATACACAAAGGCTGATGATCTGTACTTACTGATTAGCTAGGACCAAGTCAGCATTTCAAATCGTTGACAATAAGCAGCGCTATGTAAGTTTGCATCTTCAGATTACGGATAACTTGCATATATCACTGACATCAGATTTTGCGATCATACTTGAAAACAACTGATTCGTACAACCAAAGCAACTCGCAATGGGCCATAAACAAGCTCACGCTCAGGGCTCAAACCTTATTCATTTCCTTTTCAAAAACTCTGAAGAAGAACTACTGAGAAGAACTTCACAGGCACGTGATAGAAGATCGACTTCACAACTGTCCTTAAGCATTGTTCTGCAATCTTCAAGCACTGCAATAACTTGGCTTTCGTAACCTGGACCACTTTCTTTTTTCGGGAATAATCTTGAAAATGCATAGGCAATTCGTGATGTGGAAGGAGCGAAGTAGCACAGCAGACATGGTGTCCGTTATATGCGACGTGATGCTTCACTAACATTCTTACCTTGAATTCGTATATGGTGAGCTCCAGATAAAACACTCTAGCACAAAGCCCCCTCCTTCCCAGTACATATGACGTCAATCCATATACTCATTGCAATTGGGCTCGAGGCGGATAACAAGAAGTTCCTTTGTGGGGTTTTCACGCAGAACGTTGTTTTCGGATTCGGACTTTTCTTTGCGCTATTGTCAACATATACTTCCTGAATCGCCTGGAAGTATATGACACCTTTTGGTTTAGTTTTTCTTTCATCCTGGTAATAGCACAGAGCTCGTAGTTTTCGATCAAATACGAACCACCGTTTAGTCCAAGAAGAGTGAAAACGAGACCGCCCCATTTTTGAGAGATATCCTCTACAAGAGTACTTGTTGATTTTGACGGACGGGCAGTTCTCTAGTATGTGTCCTGATGCAACTATGTGATGCAGAAGATTGATATCATCGGATAACATTGATCCAGGAAACGATCGAATTGACGGAGTCTGCAAGATAAAACAAGGTCATCAAATGCCTTAAAACCTAAGTAAAATGTCCTTATTTCTCAGCTTATTTGAGTAACACATTTGCATGAAAGCTTATGTGAGGTCCTAACTCAGCCTCCTGTATTTCATAACGTTTTATGGGCAAACGGCCTTGAGCAAAAGGCGACTATTGCGCGAGCCGGTATGAATAGCACGTCCGAAAAATGCAAGAGAAACGCTGGTCACTTGGAGCTGGTAATGGTAAAACATGTCAAAAAAGATTTTCAATTGAAGACTCAAAAAAATTCTAGAGTTTTTGTCATCTATTATCGAAAAATCCAAAAAAAAGTCATATTTAATTTCGTGAATTTAATGAAAACTACTATTTACCGATCTTTCATTAAATGCTCGATGCCGTAGAGGCAGAATTGTACAGGCTATTTGGTGTATAGAACAGGACGGTTCTAAGTTGCTACTCTGAGTCTTACGCTTAAATCACATCATCTGTTGCTTTAATTTTGAATTTATGACGACTTTTAGAAACAAATTTTTAGGATACCATCACATGACCGCGCAGAAAACAAACTAATATCAACACTCCTAGGGAATGACAAGTTAAGGGTCGGGGCATATTGAAAAGGCAGCAACGCCAAACTCTTCAAGAGGCTAAAACAAAGCAGGTGTATATCATGACATCAATAATCGAAAATACAAAATCGATAGGAATACTTACGTAGGAGGGTATACGATGTTTGATATTGGATGAAGAGACTGATGTGCGAGCTTCCAAAGTCTGTTTTCGATCCTCAATTTTACTCCTGACTTCGTCATTTTTCTCCTTCTGTTCTAATCGTTTTTCAATTTCCTGCCTTCTATTTCTTTCTTCGCTTAGTGTCTTTTCCAAGGTTTCTAGCTTTCTCTTTTCCTCTTCTAACGACTGCTCTAGTTTGTTTTCGTTGACCCTCTCATTTTCTAATTCTAGTTCAAGCTCAAGGCGTCTGTCCCTTTCCCGTTTGAGATCCTCCAGCTCTTTTTCTTTTTGCTACAAAGAGAAAATAGAAGATGTTGATGATGTTGTTGCAGGGAAGGACAGAGCCACTAAAGTAGATTTTTGTTCCCAACCAATAAATCGCTAACTTGAAAGCCAATGGGCTTAGTTTTCGTACCGATCTGATGACGTAAACGATTTTATCCATTAGGGTATCTTGCAACATCGTTTCCGTCAGTGAGAAGCATTCACAAGGTTGACAGACAATTAATAAAGCTTAATTAATGTTTAAGATGACTCTCGTAAAATCGGACCCTTTGCGGGGGAGGGGGGGGTTGGGGGGTGGGGGTTGGAGTGTAGCAAAATGGTCCGAAATTCCGAGTGATCAGGGGTACGACTTAGCAAGATTAAACTAAATTTGCTTCATAAATGAGTTAGATAAAATAACATGAAGCCAGCAATGAAAGCTGATCTACGGTAGATCATTAGAATTCACAATAACTTATATCGCAGGCAAATCCTACAATCATGTAAACAAGAAACTTGTGACATTAAAACCTGTTTTGTTGCAAATAACTATCAAGCCTTGTCACGAATATGAAAAGTAATATTGAAACTTCAGTATGCGATATTTAGCAGTTCGCCTTATAAAAAGCACGTTGATTATTTACGTACTGCCAGAGAACAAAATTTCAATTCTCTTGAAATCTGAGACATCAGATATAAGCTCTATTGACTTTCATTACAAGTTCTTACTGTACAGGCTAATGCTGCGTTGGCGTATAACTAAAGAAAATGCTTACAAACACTTGTAAATATAATCATAGGACTCTTCTTTTTCATAGGACGAGCTCAGCAAATTTATTGTGAACTCTTACTCAACAGGGTAGCATTGTTTCTTGAATCAACAGAATTAGACGGTATAATCAGAGGCAGGAAGGTTTTCTGCAAGCGCTCGTTATTTACAATTGTCAAAATCTGCAAAAATCTGGTATTTTGACCATATCGGCGCGATCATTAGGGCATATACTTTGTACATGCAAAAAAGTTACGTCACTCTTGCAAAAGTCCATTCATACGAGCAGCTATGTACAACAATACATTATTAAATCGCACTGTTCTCTAAAGCCCCTAAAAATAACTTCTCTGAAAATAAAAAGCATTTTCTACTTAAGTATGAGTTTCTGTATGACTTCTATTTCGTTTCTATAAGAAAGCATATAACGATGTTGTTTCTGTATTGCCTCTTAAGAAAGCATGGAAAAGGGACTCTTTGAAGAATTCCTTTGAAGAAACCTAAGAGCAACAGAAATATCAGCTGCCTTTCAAGTGAAAAGTTCTCAAGTACATAAAGAAATTCCCAGCAAAAGCCACAATCCGCATCAACCCTTAGCTTATATCAATGAGAACTAGAAGAGAAAGAAAGCTTGAATTGCACAATCCGGACATGAAACAACTTGATACACAAAAGCAGAACAATTTTTAGTGCGCATACTTTAAGCACGCTTCCCTAAGCGCTTGTTTTGAGCATTAAAAATTACACTGATTCAACTACAACCAGTAAAAACATGGAATTAACTGGAAAAGTAAACATTATCAAAGATATTAAAGTGGTTTTATGCCTAGATACCCTAGCTTTGCTTGCCAAAATCTGGATACTCGTTTTGATAGCCCCCTCAACACAGATTTAGAGAAGACAAATGGAGTACCATCTACACAGAGCAAATTATAACACGAAAAACACAACTATAGTTCTTGAACATTAGAAAAACACGGCTTTATGCACTGGAGTGTACAAAAGGGAAAACATAGCATACTAAAGTGCTTCTCCTTTGACAATCAGCAGATATACAACATCGGACATTGACTTTGATCACACTACAAATGTCGCGCTACCATTGAAAGTCGTGAAGTTGGGTCTTTGATAATGATGGTCAAGGCAATCAACTCCTAAACGAGCTTAAAGCTATCTTTGCAGATGTTGCTTGTGTACAGAGCAGATGGCTTTCAATGTAAATGTTTTCAGTCGCTGTTTGAAATGCAAGCGAAAAAAATCAAAACTTTCAAACACAAAGAAAGAGCTGCTCTTTACTCACATGCAGAGGCAGACATTTATTTATCAAACAATAGATTAATGAAGGGATCGCTCCAGTCATATTAATCATTGGGGAGACTGTTCTTATTGTAATCATCACATGTATAATAGATCATCTGAGTAACCGTTAAGAAATCGTCAACATAAAATCCGCAATTTCCATTCCTTAGGAAACATTTTGGAGCGTAAGTCTAACAAACTCAGGTGCGCACAGAAAACGTTCTAATGAGATATGCATAAAGACATTGGTAGATTATGTGCTTCATATATATATATGGGTGGACAAGAACTGTCTTATCTTGTTAGGTATTTCAAGGAACAGAAATTATATCCTATTATGGCATCTGAACGCTCTTCTGATCTATAAAACCAACAAGTAAGTTAGATTCAGTGGATTAACCGTTCAATAACGTTCATGGCGACGTTCAGGCTGTTGATACATACGCCCTTTTTCTCGCATCTTTTCGTAAGCATCTAGACTCTGCACTACTCAAATGCAACATTTCCGTGATAAGAAAGATGTCAACACACTTAATAAATTTGAAAAATTGTTTAATAAGGTAAAGATAAATGGAAGCAACTGCGAGGATGGTGACCAGCAACAGCTAATGTCGATGAAAGCCATAACGGGAACCCGCATGCTCAACTCAAAGGGTGACGCGTTTTAAAACTGCTCGTATCGATCTTTATAAAACATATCAAATGGTAAGCCTGGTTGGAAAAGGTTTTAGAAATAAGATAGGCCATCCCATAAAAAGGGGATTTCTATTCTATATCCGAAAAGCAAGAGTCTCTAGCACATGTTTATTCTAAATACAACTGTAGCTTAAAAACATTTACATAAAAATCAACTAAATTAAATTGTGCAAAAATATCACAAAGTTAATAGAAAGCAGCTGGAGCAAAAATTCAGAATATGCGCAAGAAAAAGATGCGAAAGAGTCTCATCCTAAACTAGAAAGATGATCTACAAAGGGAGAACCTTAAGAAAAAACCATAGAAAGAGAAGCAAATGTGACAGATGGAAAAAGGGAAAAAGGTTTCTCCTGTACCAACTAAAGAAATATTGAAAGAAGAGTTAAGAGAATTCTTGTAAGAGGAACGAGAAATATTTAGAGCTGACAGTTGCCTTCTTCCTTTTAAACAGTTGCTTTCGTAAAAACATGTAAATGAACTTCCTTCGTATTATCAGCCAGAGATTAAATCGGGAGTAATCCATGCATATTCAACTGCTGTGGAAATATAGAAATGGATTAACGAAACGCAGCACCATTGAAAGATTTAACGATGGCTCTTCATCGGATAAGCACGGAGAAAAACCACCTGAGCAATATTTAAGAGCGAAGGAGGTCACGAGAGGAAATACTTTGTCCATGACAGTCATCGTTTTGCGAAAATTAGCTGTTAATTCTGCTACTTCAGATGAAAGGCATATGGAGATATTTGACAGTCTAGCCCATCAACATTAAGTAGGTTTGATTCAAAACTCGTTAGAGTAGAAAATACAAGATGGTAAAGGCAAGGAGCAAACAACCAAGTGGCACACTTTCTCAAAGATCTGATTACCAGAAGACTAGCACAGAAGACAATCCATATAAAATTTGAGCGAGTTTCTACCAGTAAATACCCTAATAAGCGGTTACTATCCTTCACACGCAAGCCCGGCTAACTCTCTTGCAAAGCTTTGTCAAAGTGCCCCTCTTGAAAAGTGAACTTGAATTTTTTTGCAGAAAAATGAGGGAGGTTTAACGGGGAAAGTTTAGAAAAAGTCCTGAAGAGTTGCTTTGTTGTGTTTTATGAAACCTGGCAGATCATCGGGGACCTTATTCTGAAATGTTTTGAACAAAAGCAGATGAGGTATCTACGAAGGATAAAAGAACAATGAACGTAGGCGGTCGTTATATTGTAGCGGAAAACGTTTAAAAATCATTTCAATAGAAACGAAGCTACAAACACTGAAAAATACGATGAAATTCGTTGCGATAACGGTAGCTCACCAATTCGAAGTGCAGTTTCATACAATTGAAATTTTATTTAAATCAAGATGCCGCAGATAAAAAAGATGATGTTGTGATTCTCAATCACAGGAAAAAGCTAAAGTCGATATAAAACTGGATTTTTATAGAAAAAATTTGTAAAAGGGATGCTCTAAGGATTTGCAGAAATGTGGTTTTCTGATAGAAAAACCATAGTTCTAAAAATAGTCAACTGATAAAACGGAAGTGAGTCAACAAGGACCAACTTTATAAGGAACCTAAATGTAGAAGGCAGATAAAAAGAACCTTTGGTACTAAAGACAGAATACCTATGGAATCTTTCTATCATTGCAAACAATAAAAAATTTCATAGCTAAAAATCAAATAAATTGTGTGTTTCGAAGGTAGCTACCGAGTGGATCATCGTGTAATTTCAAGTGTTTCATTTTCCTTCTTGACTGAACTTCCACTTTTTCATACATCAAACGTATTTCTAGTCTTCTTTCTGTTTTTTCACCTTGTTTTCTGACTACAGCTAAGAATATAGCAACACTAATACAGAATTTCAATGTATTATGTGCAATTTTCATGTCACAAAATGTGCAGTTGAAGAAAAGGAACAATTAAGGAAATTTTAGTACTAAAATCCGATCAAAAGAGTTCAAAAATAAGGAACTTCAAGAACTAGATCTCGAGCTAGGTTCCTTTTTAAAAAGAGTGTATTTTATGAGACCGACTACCTGTTTTCTAATTTGTAAGACTTCGGGAGTTTTTCAGCTTCAGTCAAAATATACAGCGAATGCCAAATTTCTTGATTTTTTGGGCTAACCATTTTAACTTTGGGGTAAATCATTATATGGGGGTAAATAAAGGCCCATCTTGACAACGCTTACAAAGAGGAGAGATGACATGAAGCAAACTTATGAGATCCATGACATCGAATATAACAAAGTTAAACACGAGGATAATACTTTTTGATCCCT